TGGAATGAAAACTGACCTTTTCCAGTCCTGTGGCCACTGCTGAGTTTTCCAAATTTGCTGGCATATTGAGTGCAGCACTTTCACAGCATCGTCTTTCAGGATTTGAAATAGCTCAACTGGAATTCCATCACCTCCACTGGCTTTGTTCATAGTGACGCTTTCTAAGGCCCACTTGACTTCACATTCCAGGATGTCTGGCTCTAGGTGAGTGATCACACCATTGTGATTATCTGAGTCATGAAGATCTTTTTTGTACAGTTCTGTGTATTCTTGCCACCTCTTCTTAATATCTTCTGCTTCTGTTAGGTCCCTACCATTTCTGTCCTTTATTGAGCCCATCTTTGCATGAAATATTCCCTTGGTATCTCTAATTTTCTTGAAGAGATCTCTAGTCTTTTCTATTCTGTTGTTTTCCTCTTTTTCTTTGCACTGATCACTGAGGAAGGCTTTCTTATTTCTCCTTGCTATTCTTTGGAACTCTGCATTCAGATGGGTATATCTTTCCTTTTCTCCTTTGCTTTTTGCTTCCCTTCTTTTCACAGCTATTTGTAAGGCCTCCTCAGACAGCCATTTTGCTTTTTTGCATTTCTTTTTCTTGGGGGTAGGGGGCAGGACAAAGGCTAACACATACTTACTAGATGCACCAGAATCCAATTCCTAAACAAACTGCAGAGTATGAGTTTAATCCCCATTCTTGCAGATGCACTTACTAAAGCTCAGAGAGAAGCTATGTTGTGTCCAGATAAGCCTCAGGCCCGCCAGCCTCCTCAGCTTGTGTTTGTTCCCCACTGCGTTGCTGCAGCGGGGTGTGGACACTCCCGCCAGCCTCCTCTAACCCCCGCGCCCCCCCTTTCTGTCTCCTAGGAGTGCCAGCTTCTCGCAGGGCACCAGGGCCTCATTCCTCATGAGAAGCGACACAGCCGTGCAGAAACTTGCCCAGGGCAACGGGCATTGTGTCAACGGGGTCGGTGGTCAAGTCCACGGCTTCTACAGCCTCCCGAAGCCAAGCCGGCACAATGCCGAGTTCAGAGACAGTGCCTACGACCTCCCCCGGAGCCTGGCCGCCCACGGCCACACCAAGGGCAGCCTCACCGGCTCCGAGACAGATAACGAGGACGCGTATACCTTCAAGATGCCCAGCAGCACCCTGTGCCGGGAGTTTGGGGACCTCCTGGTGGACAACGTGGACGTTCCGGCCACCCCGCTCTCGGCCTACCAGATCCCTAGGACGTTCACGCTGGACAAGAACCACAACGCCATGGCAGTGGCCACGCCTGGGGACTCGGCCATAGCTCCCCCGCCCCGGCCCCCCAAGCCAAGTCAGGCAGACACACCTCGATGGGGCAGCCCTCAGCAGAGACCCCCCGTCGGGGAAGGCAGCAGATCGGTCTCTGCCGCCGCCACCATCCCCAGGCGTAACACCCTCCCAGCCATGGACAACAGCCGGCTTCACCGAGGTCAGTGTGAGCCCTGGCTCACCCAGAGGGGGTGGGAGGAAGGGAGGGGGCACAGGGGGCTCGGCATTGTACGAGCTCTCGCCATCCAGGCCAAGGGGGCTTAAGGCCCACCTCGGTCAGGCATGCTCACAGGTTTAGGCATCTTCTCACCCCAGGCCTTTCCTAGCTGGGCCCCCAACCCTGGAGGCTCTTAGTGAACACCACAGAGGCAAGAGTTTAGCAGATGCTGCCTGAGAGAAGTTACTGTTCTACTAAGGAAACAGAACATTCTTGGTTAACCACATTACAACGTATTATGGGTTTAGAGGTCCGGATCCTAGTCTTTTACTCACTTATAAATCAAATGAAAGATTTCAAAAATAAATTTAGAAGACTAGTCCAAACTGGAGCCAAACCTTTGTGGACCAACAGACTATTAAAATTAGATCTGCAAAATATTTTCTAAGCCACATTTGCATCTCTGGTTAAAGTCTGAACATCTATTTGAAGTATTTAAATTCTACTGTCGCTTAATTCCCACTGAGAGTATTCCAACTCTGCATGCGGCCTCCTCCATTTGATGAAAAAGTAGAATACTATTAATCTCTTCCATTTTGCATCTTGGTAATAACCCTGTAGCTGGGCTTCCTTGGTGGCTCAGCAGTAAAGAATCCACCCGCCAGTCCAGGAGACATGGGTTCAATCCCTGGGTCGGGAGGATCCCCTGGGGAAGGAAATGGCAACCCACTCCACTATTCTTGCCTGGAAAATCCCATGGACAGAGGAGCCTGGTGGGCTACTGTCCACAGAGTTGCGAAGAGTTGGATAATACTTAGCGACTAAACAACACTGGAGCTACGTCCAAAAGCCCAGGAGGAATTTGTGAGTTGAGGAGTGGTGTGGTAGAAGCAATACCTTGTCTTAGGAATTGAGAGCGGTATCTCCTAGAGTAGCAGTTACGATCCTGAGCGACACTGGGGAGGGTGTGGGAAAGTGTTGGCATAGGGGACCAGCTCTGAGTTCTCAGGGGTCTTCCTTCCTCTGCCATAGCTTCTTCCTGCGAGTCCTATGACTACCCGCAGCGTGGTGGAGACAGTGCCGGCCGCTCTGCCGAGTCCATGAGCGATGCAGTCAGCGCTTTCCTGGTGAGTGGGGTTGAATCAGGGGTCCTTAAGGCAGCTCACCCCCATGGGACTGAAACCACAGCCGAAAAACATGACGGCATCTACCTCCTAGGAGCCTGCCTTGCTTCTTTGTTCAGAACCCCTGGATTGAGTGTTCGGAAAAATGCACGTATCCTGGTCTGGAAGAAATGTGTGTACTTAGGTGCCCTAGACAAGAAGGCTTATCACCGAGGGTGAGCAGGGAGGGTCTAGAATGCAGGGGACGCAGGCACTGGGATGTGGCTGTCCAGCAGCACCCCAACCATGAGGTCCCACCACGGGCGTGAGACCCCAGGCAGGGGTGGCGCTTAGAGTTGGGCTCAGAGACAGGATGGTGTCAGAGCAGCGTCCCAGGCCGCCGTCAGGAGGGGGTCGATGACAGCCCTGCTGGGTGTCAGGCCCAGCTACGCCGAGGAGGGCCTGCCTTCAGGCTCCCCGGGAAGATCGTGAACATGAGCAGCTTAGTTGTTGTATATGCGTCCCAGTAGACAGGCCAGGAGTGAAAGGAAGGCTGTGGCCAGGGTGGTGGCCACACTGCCGCTCTGCCTGCAGCCTGGTGGTCACACTGAGAGCTGCCTCAGGAAAGCATGCCTGCCCAGGCCTCGCCCATCAGCGCCGAGGCCCCTCGGAGGCTCCTTGCCCTGCCCAGGGCCTGAGCTGCTGACCTCCAGTGATGAGTGTGGGCTTGAGGAGGGGGGCGGGTCCTGAACCAAACCTGTGACCCAGGGCCTGTGCTGTCCTGACTTGGTCAGGCAGCCAGGAAGCCTTGTGGATGTTTTACACAAGGTTTATCACAAATTATAAGTAAGCTCCAAGGGATCATGGAAGCTAGAAGAGACCCACAGGCTTCATTTGTTCCTGTCACCCCGCTGCTTTCTTACCTGGTTTCCCAGGGTCTGCCTTATAAGCTTCACAGTGCATCCAGCTCCATCTTCTCTTGCCCTGTGTAAAGATCTGCACCCTCTCCTGTTTCCTTTCCCTAGTAACAACAGTATTTCTCTCCACTCCTAGCCAGCGAAAGCAGTTGTGGGTCGATCAGACAGCACCAATTCCGAGGACAACTACGTGCCCATGAACCCAGGCTCCTCCACCCTGCTGGCTTTGGAGCGAGCCGGTGATAACTCCCAGAGTGTCTACATCCCCATGAGCCCGGGGCCACATCACTTTGACCCACTCGGCTACCCCTCCTCAGCCCTCTCTCTGCACCGAGGCTCCAGCAGAGGGAGTGAGATCCAGCCACCCCCTGTAAACCGCAACCTCAAACCTGACCGGAAGGGTAAGTCCACTGTTTCCCCAGCCCAGCTCTGGGCTCTCTTCAGGGACTGTGCGTTCATTTAGGGATCCCGTGGATCCTAAACTTGCCTTGCAAGGAAGTGACAGCCTCTGGAGCCTAAATCGCCCCAAATACACACACACACGTGTGCGCACACACATTACACACTCTCTCTCCAAATCCATCCCAGTAGGGACTGGCGACCAGAATGCAGAAGTGCAGGGATCAGAAAGACAGGATGGATTCAGGTTGCAGCCTGCCACCTGCTAACATGTGATTGTAAACGAATCCTTCTCTGTCTCTGCGCCTTGCTTCTCATCTGTGATGTGGGAAGTATGAAACATTTGAATCCGTTCTAATGAGGTGGAAGAAACTCGAGCCTATTATACAGAGTGAAGTAAGTCAGAAAGAAAAACACCAATACAGTATACTAACGCATATATATGGAATTTAGAAAGATGGTAACAATGACCCTATATGTGAGACAGTAAAAAAGACACCGATATAAAGAACAGACTTTTGGACTCTGGGAGAAAGCAAGGGCGGGATGATTTGAGAGAACAGCATTGAAACATGTATATTACCATATGACATAGATCACCAGTCCAAGTTCAATGCATGAGACAGGGCCCTCAAAGCCAGTGCAGTGGGACAACCCTGAGGGATGGGGTGGGAAGGGAGGTGGGAGGGGGGTTCGGGATGGGGGACACATGTACACCCATGGCTGATTCAAGTCAATGTATGGTAAAAACCACTGCAGTATTGCAAAGTAATTAGCCTCTAATTAAAATACATAAATTAATTTTTTAATATGCCTATCAGAGACATTGAAGGGCATAGACAATATATCTTAATGTGCTTCACAGTGTTTGAAATGCAGCTCAAGGATAAGGGATTTTTATTAGCTCTAGGGCTAAAACAGGTAGAACTGACAGAGTGTTCCACTGAAAGATACACTCTGCTATAAAAGGAAGGACTGAGCTCTCAAACCAGGTAGATGTGCTTCCTAGGTGTGTGACTGAGTAAATCATGTGAATTCTCTGAACCTCTGGTTTTCTTATCTGCGAAGTAGGGATGGTCATGCCTACTTCCTGGGTTTGTTCAGAAGGAAAGCGTCTAGGACATTGACTGGTACATTTAGACCAGGAAGAACTGCAGTTCAAGTTCCAGGTCTGCCTGATCCCATTCTGCAGGCCTGGACCAGGGGCAGGGACTCAGGGGGAGAAGCAGAGTCCGTGAACAGACAGAAGCCCCCTTGGGCCTGGTTGGCAGGGAATGCAGAGCTCAGCATTTGAATCGGAGCCTTCAGGGCCTTGTGACATTCACCTTCTTCCATAGAAGGCTCCACAGTCCTGGCCCAGAAGTGGCAGGGGGCGCTCATGGTGGCCTTCTCCATGACGTTTCAGATATCATCTCTTGCTTTCATTCTCAGTCACAAACGTCCCAGCCCACGTGCCCATTTTAGATCTGAAAGTGTGATTGCCATCGGTACAGTGTGAGGAATAGATAATTTGGTATCTGAAGACATGACTTCATGAGCAGAGATCATATAACCTCACGGAGCCTGGGTCTCCCCATGGATAACTGGGATGAGTAGGAAGGATTTTAAACACACTTGTGTGTTACGTGTAAGGGTCTATATGTGTGGCCTTGTCATCATTGGCTGATGAGTCAACCTTCTGTTCCTGCTGCAGCAAAGCCAACACCACTTGACCTGAGAAACAACACCGTCATCGACGAGCTCCCCTTCAAGTCCCCCGTCACCAGGTCTTGGTCCAGGGCCATGTGAGTGTCTGTCTGTGGACGCGAGAGCTTGGAATGGGGCAGTGGGTTGGTGAGTGGAACAGGTCACCACATTCCTGATGCTGTTGGTAGCTCAGGGCTTGGCTTCCTCTTCTGTGACGAAGGGAGAACAGTCCCCGCTCCGTGTCAGATCTTAGTCTGATAATGGAGGCCAGAGGTCCAGGGCCTGGCGGGAGGCTGGCCATGCCCAGGGTTTACCCCCTGTCTCCCCCGCAACAGCCACTCCTTCAACCCCAGCTCCTCCCAGTACTGCCGCCCCATCTCTACTCAGAGCATCACCAGCACCGACTCCGGAGACAGTGAAGAGAACTACGTCCCTATGGTGAGTCGTCCCGCACTTCCCATCTCACTGACTCCCCCGGCCCCAGGGCAGTGTGCTGCTACCCGTCTGTCTGTCTGTCTGTCTGTCTGGAGCACATACGTGTCAGTTACTGTGGGGTCATCAGCAGAGGCAAGGAAGACGCGGTCCCTGCCCTCAGCGGGGAGAGGAGGCCTGCCTCTCTCCGACTGTGACCCAGGCAGTGTGGTCAGTGCCCTGCGGGGGCGGTGTTATGGGGGTGCACCCACAGGACAGGCGACCTCAGCAGGGTGGGGAAGGGGAGGCGCTTGGGCAGAGGTGGCCGTGGATGGGGACACGGAGAGTGACAGTCATTAACTCTGTCTGAAGGTGGGGGCGGCCAGCGGGGAGGCTGGCCTAGAAGTCAGACCACGAACGACCCCGAATGCTGTCTCCAGAAGCCTGCACTTGTCCCGTGGAGGCCACATGAGGGTCCGCAGGCCGGGCAGTTAGATAGTGTTTCAGAATCGTCATCGGGGGGGCCTGCAGGGAAGAACTGGGGCAGCTTCCCAAGTTAACCCCCTTGTTCCATCCTGTTAACACTTTTCAGAAGCAAAAGGTCTCCTCATTTTCTCCTCCTGTCGTCCCCATGACTGGGAGGTGTGGGAGTATGAGCGCCCACGGAGTGTCTGCCCCGCGGCGGGGAAGTGCACGTGTGTGTGCCTTGGGGTGGGGGGCGCTCACAGAGGCGTGGGCCATGGGGATCCCCAGGGCACAGCCGCACGTGGACAGATGGACAGACAGACATATGAGAGACACACAGACATATGAGAGACACACAGACACGTGGACACGGAGAGCGCAAACCCACCCGTCAAGTGAAGGAGCCGAAAGCAGCACAGGACTGTCGCCTTTCTCACGAGAAGGCGTCCTCAGGAGAGAGCCAGACAAGCCGGCCTCCGCGCCCGACGAGACCGGCCCTGCAGTGGGCATCCGAGAGCTGCTGGGGGGCCGGGGCTTCGCGCCGCCTGGCGACGAGGGCCCTCTCTAGTGACCCTCAAGGAGCTGGGACAGGGGTGGCCAGGCTGCTGCAGGGTGACTGCCCCGCTCCAGGCCGTGGTGGGCGCCCCAGAGAAGCAGGGCTGGTCCAGCGCACACAGGGCACGCGCTCCTCTCTGAGGGCAGCGAGCAAGGGCCGGTCTGGGAGGGAGGGAGGGAAGGTGAGGCCCGGCCTGACGGCCCGGGCAGGAGGCGGGAGGCAGCACAGTGAGAGCGGCTCAGGCTGGAAGTCTCCCCTGCCCACCAGCTGTGCAGCCGTAGGCAAGCTGCTTTAACTTCTCTGAACCAATTTTATATTCATTGTTTAAAAAAAAGAGAAGTAATAATGCCTCCATCACAGGATTGTTGTGAGGGTTTAAACAGGAACACAGGCTGTCCCCGGCACAGAGCAGGCCTTGGGTGAGCTGGCTGCTGTCACTCCCAGAGGCGTGTTTTTCCCCCGATGGTGGGTTAGTCTACTTCCTGAAGTCACTAACAGTTTTTTCCCTCCTTTGTGATAGCAAAACCCTGTGTCTGCATCTCCCGTTCCCAGCGGCACCAACAGCCCAGCCCCTAAGAAGAGCACTGGCAGTGTGGATTATCTGGCCCTGGACTTCCAGCCGAGCTCCCCGAGCCCCCACCGCAAGGTGCCTGGGGTGGGCGTGGGCGGTGGGGGGTCCCGCTGAGCTCCTGGGGGGAGAGGTCCCGGAGGCCAGGTGCCTCGTCCGGCCAGGCTGGGCTGAGGCCTGGGTCTCAGAGGGCTCAGGCACGCTCAGCCTCAGCACTCAGGCACCCTGAGTCCACAGGCCCTCGTCCGTCCACCCGTCCCTCCCCTCGCCATGTGGAAGGACACATGAGGGCACACAGAGACACGATCTGCTCAGGGTCACGTGTGAATCCGTGACAGAGCGGAGACGCGGGGATCGCATGTCCCGGTCCTGAGCTCTTTGAGAACGCGCTGTCCGGGTGCAGCCTGGGAAAGGCGCCCCCTGCCCTCCCGGAAGCACACTTAGCTGCCTGGTCCCGACAGCAGCACTGACACTCCCCCCGACCCAGGGCAGCCGTGCGTGCCCACCGCGCACCCCCACAGAGCCCTGCAGCTGGCCCTTGGGGGCGCCCAGCCAACTCCCTCTCCTGGACAAGCGGCCACGGGGAGAGGGTGGAGGCCTGGGCCCAGGGAAGGGCTGCAGCAGCAAGAGGGTTGGCAGGGGCTGCGGCCTCGAGCAGGAGGAGGGCTGGTGCAGGGCGGAGGGCAGGCTCTACAGGCCACTTTCAGGGGGAGAAAACAGGTCAGAGGGGCGGGCGGAAGCCCACCTGCTCGCCCCAGACACCACTCAGGGAGAGCCGCGTGCTGCTCCCCGCCTTACGGTCGCTCACAGCCCCTTCACCGCCCCGGTCTGTCCCCCAGCCATCCACGTCATCGGTCACTTCCGACGAGAAGGTGGACTACGTTCAAGTGGACAAGGAGAAGACCCAGGCCCTGCAGAACACCATGCAGGAGTGGACAGACGTGCGGCAGTCCTCGGAGCCCTCCAAGGGCGCCAAGCTGTGACGCCCCGCGCCCAGGGAGGGGCCCGGAGGCCCCGTCTGCAGAGCCGGCCTCCGGTCTGCTCGCCCTTCGCCTCTGCAGCACGCCCTCCTGCCCACCTCCTCTCTCCTCTGCCACTCTGGCCTTCAAAGCACTTGGCATCAGGGACCCTGACCCCTTCCCCCTGGGAGGCAAGGGCCTGATCGAGGCACTTCCTCCGCCCTCTCCGGGCCCACCTTTGATTTTTATCAGCAATGGCCATCCTACCTTAGTTAGAGCTCTTGCCAAAAAGCCTCCTCCAGCCTCCGCCTGCCCTTCAGACCCGAGTATCTACCGGACGTGTGGGGGCGGGGCCGCGGCTCTGAGCCGATGCACCTCACCGTCCGGCCTCCAGCTGCTGGGCTCCCAGCCTCGGTCCCGGAAGAGGCCACATCGTCCCGCTGACCAGGCGGCCGAGGAGCAGCAGGCCAGTGTGGACACGGACCTCTTCGTCCCTGTCGCCCTTGGCAGGGGCGGGGCGGGGCCACCCAAAGGCGGAGGAGCCGCGGAGGAAGGTCAGAGGCGGTCTTGAGGGACAGAGGAATTGGAGCCCGAGACGCGGAAGGGCAGTGCAGCCCCGCAGTGGTTTCGGGGCAGCCCCCCACTTTCAGGGGTGGGAGAGGTGGAGGGAGGGAGAGGCTGGGGACGACCGGCCACCAAGAACCCAGAGCGGGGCTCAGAGCCCGGAAGATGGGGAGACAGACGCTGCGGGGCCGGGCCCCTGGGACCGTGAAGCCACAGGCCCGCTCTGCCAAGACGCGGAAGGGCAGTGCAGTCCCGCAGCGGTTTCGGGGCAGCCCCCCACTTTCAGGGGTGGGAGAGGTGGAGGGAGGGAGAGGATGGGGACGACCGGCCACCGAGAACCCAGAGCGGGGCTCAGAGCCCGGAAGATGGGGAGACAGACGCTGCGGGGCCGGGCCCCTGGGACCGTGAAGCCACAGGCCCGCTCTGCCCTCCAGGACAGAGCGCCGTGCCCCCGACCCCGCCAGCCCAGGGCCGCCGCGCTGGACAAGGCTTGGACTGTGCTGGGCGACACAGCGTGGGGCGGGGGCACCGCATGGCGAGCGGGGCCAGTGGAGCTGTGGGGAGGTGACGCGGGGTGCAGGGTGGGCGTGCGGGGTACCGAGGGGCCACCCTGGGACCGCCTGGGCGGAGGCACACGGCGGTGCCCGGGACTGGCATGGAGACAGCGCAGCAAGTGAGCTTCCGTAAGACGGGCGGCGCGGCGGGGGCAGCTGAGAGTCGGTGTGGGGGCTCCGGGGGCCCTGGGAGGTCCGCCCAGCGCGCCTGCTGGAGAGAGAGCCCCCGGCAGTGCCGCGGAGACGCAGGCCGGAGCAGAAAGGGAGCGGTGACGCCGCTCTCGGGGCAGCTGGCCTGGTGGCAGGCGAGGGCAGTTCCCAGGACTGACGGACGGCGGGCAGAACAGAGCCCGAGCACGTGGCAGGGAGCACGTGGCAGGGTGGCCGGTGGCTTGTGCCCTCGGACTGAGGTTTGTGCAGGGCCCACGAAAGGTTGGGGCGTGGCCTGGTGCCAGGGCACCCCCAGTAGCTCTGTGGAGTCCCAGGTGCCCTGTTGGACTCAGACCTGGCTACAGGGACAGGAGACGGCAGGGCTGGAAGGGCCCCCAGGTCGGCGTCACCCTCTGCCAGGACAGAAGGGGGCATCACCCCAGGCTCCCTCTCCCAAGCCTGGGGAGGGAGACGCTCTTATGTTAAGAGTTCTTGGACAAATTTTTAAAAAGTTTCAGAGGCAACTGGGCGGACCAGATGTTTCACCCTACTCTGGGGAGAACAGACCTTCTTCCTCCAAAAGAAACGAGTTCCGACCCTACCTAAGGGAGGTGGCTACCGCTCACCTTTCTGCTCCTGTGAGCGTGTGTACAGCCTCAGCAGCCTGAGGCCTGACCGTGCTCCGTCCCGGGAGAGACGGTCTCAACAGGTGAGAACTCCTCCTAGTATTAGTCACATCAACTCAATTAAGTGATGGCAGCGGCTGCTGTGGCCAGGTCTGGACTGGGCACTGAGGACACAGGAGTTAATCAGACTTTGTTTGAGAAGGTTGCGCTCGATGAGAAAAAAAGACAAGGACACGTCGCTGATGGCCATGAGAGGCTCAAAGCTAGGGATGTGCGGAGAAGTCAAGGCCACTTCTCCAGGAGACTGGTGTGCAGGCCGGAGTGGGGAGGTGTGCAGATCAGGGAATGTGGTTTCTAGGAAAAGCGGGTGCCTGAGTTGGTCGGAGGGGAAGAAGGGTCAGATTTTTAGGGGAAGGAGGGTGGGTCTGGGCTCCAGGGGAGAAAGACAGAGAGACTTGTGCTTTGGGAACAAAAGACCTTTGGGAGTATGGGCCCAGCCCAGGCCCTCAGCAGCAGCAAGGCCTTGGTGTTCACACAGATGAAGTGGTGATGGTGGCAGTGGCCTCCCCTGGGCAGGGTTTGGTAGGGGACTGCCCAGCCCTGTGTCCCTTTAGGGCCCTCTGCAGACTGTCTCATATGGCAGAGCTTTGAATGGTAGCCCCACCCCACCCCAGAGGCTACAGGTGGGCCCAGGTATGGATGCGTCAGTTCCCAGCATCGTCCCCTGTTGATCATCAGGTGCCCTGATGATATCAGTGTTTTCTGAATGTGCCATAAGGTGAGTGAGACTGGTTGGACGAGAGACGGAGGTGTTCAAATCTAACCTCCAAGGAGGCCTCCCTCCAGCTCTTCATTCTTCCAACCCCCAAACCCTTAGAGTGGAGGCGGGAGCAGAGACCAGAGGAAGTACAAAAGCAGCAGAGAATGCTGAAAGCAGACTTGGGGCTCAAGCCCCAAGTCCCAGGGGTCTAACGGTCCCGTCTGTGGCTCAGAGTTCACCTCTGTTGGTGGCCTGGCGCGGACGGAGACCCCAGGAGGCCCTGCGACCGGCCAGCAGAGCCCCCTCCTGCCTGGGGCTCCCAGGAGCAGCAGCTGTCTCCGGTTCCAGCTCCCCAGCTCCGCAGGGTTAAAGGCAGGGAGGAGTGCTTGCAGGGAGCTGTGTCTCCTCCCCACCTCAGCTCCGCAGGGTTAAAGGCAGGGAGGAGTGCTTGCAGGGAGCCGTGTCTCCTCCCCACCTCGGCGGGGTCAGCTGGGCCCTGAGGCTCTCCTGTGACTGCTCCCTGCTCTGTGACCTGTGTCAAGGGCCAGCTAACCCAGTGCCCTCCCTAGACCTGACTGCAGTAACTTTTACACTCGAAACCGTTCAACTGCATCCCATCCCTAGGACAGAAGCACAACGGTTCTCAACCTGCCCCGGGGCTAAGGCCCCCAGCTGTGGCCGCCCTGCCCTGCCCACGGCCCTCTGACGAAACTCCGGAAGCTGAAAGCAGAGCGCGGGGCAGGAGGGAAGTCAGCGCGTCCTTCCCCTCTCCGTCCATCTGTCCGTCTGCACACGGCGAGGGTCAGAGGCTGCGCGCAGGAGCGCTCAAGTCACCGCCTTCCGAAACTCACTCAGCTCTTCGGGGGGCCAGGTGGGCTGCCTACCGAGGGGCTGGCGTGTGATATTTGATGGTGTGTGTGCTTACGTGTTTGTTGGTTACATGTGTCTTGAAATGTAGAATCATTTCCCACAGAATCGTTGCTTTGTCGAGAAGAGAAAACGGGCTAGAAGAAGCCCGGTCTTAGGTTTCTGGCCCTGTTACCATTTAAAATTGACATTTAATTTTTCAAATCGCTGTTGGTGCCTAATCACTTAAGTTATTAATTTATTGTTTTCTTTTTAAAAGAAAAATTTGTAACATGTATTTATCCTGTGAGTAGATCTGGGGGGGATGGGAATGCGTTCTCAGGCGTCCTGTTTTTGCGGTGGTGACACATAGTACAGGCCTGGAGCTTGCAGGGCCCTTTTACTGTGGTGGTGGAGCTGGACGACAATAAAGTCCGTGAGAAGCAAGCAGAGAGGGCTGCAGCGTCTGCCTCGTCCGGGGGGCGGGCGGCGGGCTTGCACAGGACACCCGTCCTCGACCAGACAGTCTGCCCCCATCCCCGGCTACTCCACCTTCTGTTGAACAGGAGACAACTGGTGACCTTTCTTGGCTGTCAGGACAAGTGTGAATCCTCCTTACCTTGGAATCTGTATTCCTGGTGTGTGAAATGGAAGTAATAGCGACCCCTACCAGTTCATCTTTCTTAAAGGCGCGTTGGACCAGAGAGGTGAGTTCTGAGCATGACCGTTCAGTCTCTGACAGTCCACCTGCACTGGTCCCTGAGTCTCGGGGCTCCGTGGGCTTTGGAGCCAAACCTCAGCTCTTCCACTGTAGCCCAGGAAGACCCCCACCAGGCCATTGCTGTGCCAGGTTCCCAGATGGGCAGACCCTGAGCCCACCCACCCAGGGCCACAGGGATAAGAAAGGAGTGTGGGAGCAGCCGCAAGCTCCAAGCAGCCCGGAGCTGATCGATGAGTCCCTCCACAATGTCCTGTCCAGGTGTCCCCCGGCCTGTGCACCTGCCCCCTCCAGAGCCAACCCCCCCCCCCCAAATCCGGGCACATCCCCGCCACCAGGCCTCACGTTTACACAGCACTTCCGTGCAGGGCACACTCACCTCCCCTGGTGTAGCACGCAGGTCAGCAGGGCAAGGGGGTGTCCCTGCCTTCCTGCCCAGACACGGCGAGAAGTCATGGACAGAGCGGGAAGAACCACAGCTTTAATTGCTTCAGAGAACCTCTTTTTATTCCTGTTTGAGACCCTGGTTCTCTCCTCTCCATTTAGAAAGGGTACAGCAGCGTCAGGCACAATGAGGTCAGTATCTGCTCCTCACCAGACCGCCCCCACCGGCCCCCGGGGCAGTGCCCAACAGCTGAGGTGCTGAGCCAGCCAGCGTCCCTCAGGACAGACGTCATGAGACACACATAAAATAAGGACTCTCTCTCGTACCCAGAAGGGGGATCTCAGGCACTGAGGCGGGAGAGGGGGCTAAGGGGCCGTCCTTCATCCTGCGTTGCGGCTTGGTGTCGGGGGGCCCATCTCTGTTCCCGCGCTAGGCTGCTTCCCGCCTACGCCCCTCACAGGGCAGCATCGGCACCCACATACACTGCCTCAGGCCCCTCAGAGAAGCGAGAAGGCGGCCGGAGGCGCCACACAGCCCCCTGGTTTGTGCTGGGGCTTGGACCCTCCTCGGGTCCACACTAGAGAGACCCAGGATTGTCTGAAAGGAGCTGGGACGGAAGGGAACTGCTACTTGATGGCAAGCACAGGGCAGGGGCGGAGGCCCAGAGTGTGTCCGTCTCGGCTTCTCCGAGCTGACCACAGCTCTCGGGTGCAAGTCTTAAGGGGGCTGATCCCAGTGTCGGGGCCAAGGGCCAGTTTAAGGGGCTCAGGTCTCACCTCCATGTCTGAGTGTGCCCTCCAGGCTGAGGCCAGCAGCCCCTGCTCCATCGCTCTCGCCCTTGGAAGGGGCTGCCTCCACGGCCTCCCCCAGGCCCCATGTGGCCAAGCGCCTCTGCCTGGGACCTGGGCCGCCCCCCAGATCGGCTGTGGCACCCCCCAACAAGCGCAGGCAGGCCGGGGGGTCGAGGGTCCCATTAGAAGACCAGTCTGTGGAAGTCACCACCACCGCCACCTGCAGGGCTGCAGCCCCCAGGGGGACCTTTGTCCTCATCTTTGTCTTCGTCAAAGCCCCTCCGCCAGTGTGGGGACGCAGGGAGCGCAGAGATGTAGGCCGCCCTGCTCCGGGCCTCCTTCTCCTGCTCCTGGAAACACAGATGGGGATGGAGCAGGAGGCTTCAAATGCAGGCTCTGAAGCCACAGTGCTCCTTTCAACCCCATCCCCTCCCAGTGTAAGCGCCCAGCACCCTGGAGGAAAGGAACTCACTCCCACTGACTAGACTGAACAGCGGGCAGGGGCCTCAGGTGGCACCTGGAGGAGGCAGTCCAGAGACTTCCAAGGTCACCTCCGACCCCTCTGGGACCTCCCTGCAGACTTCCTGATGCAACTGTCCAACTCACTGCCTCTCTAGACAGGAGGGACAGACTCTGCCGAGGAGAAAGCTCTCCCTCCTGCCGCACTGGGGCCGGCCCTGGAGACCCCTCGCCACCGGCCCCGGACCCATCTCCCCCTGAAGAACTCAGCAGAAACGGGAAAGCAGAACCAAGGTCCCCCCACCCAGGTGCCGCTGGCCGGGGTCCTGGTGTGACCACCCAGCTGTTTACGGCAGCACGCCTCACGCTGCTTGGAGCCCTGGCTGTTCCAGTTGCTAAGTACTTTGATGCCACCCTAGACTCTCAGGAGTGGCGTCGAGGGCACAGTGAGAGGACGACCCTCCCAAAGGCCTTCCCCACCCGCTCGGATCCACTAGCTCACTCACAGAGCCCCTCCTCCAGCACATGACAGCTTAATAAAGAAATGGTCGTTCCTAACGTGTGCTGAAAAGAACCCTGATGCTGGGAAAGATTGGAGGGAGGAGAAGGGGGCGACAGAGGATGAGACGGTTGGATGGCATCACCGACTCCATGGACGTGAGTTTGAGTAAGCTCTGGGAGTTGGTGATGGACAGGGAAGCCTGGCGTGCTACAGTCCATGGGGTCGCAGAATCTGACATGACTGAGCGGCTGAACTGACTGTGTGTCCCTCTAAAGCAGAGGGTCTGTCTGGCCCACTGATTTCTTTTTCCCCAGCACTAAGTGGGATGAGTGGATCAAAGGAAAAAGGAAAAGACTCAGGAGCAGCCACTTATCCGAGCTGGTGGGCTGCTGGAAGCCCATGGGGGTCTGCTCACCTGCAAGAAAAGAATGTTGTCTTTGGAAATGGCTTCCATCAAGTCCTTGTGGAGGGTGGGCTCTGCCCGGGTGCGGGGGGAGCCGGGCTCGGCCTCGGACCCCTCCTCGGGTCGCTGCCGGTAGAAGAGCACGTAGGCCGTGTCCTTGGGGAAGAAGGAGGTGACGTTGCTGACAGACTCGAAGGACGAGAAGGACACGCGGGTGTCGTTGAACAGGTACCACTGGTTGTCGGGCTCCGGCCGCTCGGCGGCCCCCGGGGCCGGGGCGGGGCGGGCGGCGCCCTCGCGGGCGTAGCAGTAGTAGTGGCCGCTCTCGGAGGACAGCCCCGAGTGCACCACGACGCTGCACAGGTCGTAGGCCTGGCCCCGGCCCCCGGCCAGCGGCAGGCGCAGCAGCAGCGGCACCGACACGTCGTCCAGGATCTTGCGGCGCCGCATGGTGCGCAGGTCGAAGGAGAAGCGCAGCAGCGTCAGAATGAGGTAGCGCGGGCCCTGGCTCAGCTCCACCACCTTCTCGGCATCCTGCAGGGATGCACACGACTCGCAGTGGTAGCGGTTCTCCGACGTCAGCCTCTCAGGCGACAGAAAATAGTTGACCAGGTCCAGGACCGAGCGGGAGCCGTCCCCGGAGGCGGTCGCAGCACTCCGGGGGGTCCCTGGGCCCGGACCAGCTGCCGCCGCCCCTTCGGCCGACTCTTCCTTCTCGTCCCGGGCCTCCTTCTCCTCCTCCATTTCCTTCTCCTCCTTCACCTCCTCCTCCTCCTTCTCCTCCTCCTGCTCCTCCACTTTCTTCTTCACCTTCTCCTCCTTCTCCTCCTCATCCTGGGCCACCCTCTCCTCCTCCTTCTCCACCTTCTCCTTCCGCTCCTCCTTCACCTTCTCCTCCTCCACCTCTACCTTCTCCTTCACCTTCTCCTCCTCCTCCACCTTCTCCATCTCCTTCTCCTCCTCCACCTTCTCCTTCACCTTCTCCTCCTCCTCCACCACCTTCTCCATCTCCTTCTCCTCCACCACCTTCTCCTTCACCTTCTCCTCCTCCTCCACCTTCTCCTTCTCCTCCTCCTTCACCTTCTCCTCCTCCTTCACCTTCTCCTCCTCCTCCTCCTCTCCCGCCTCCTCCTCCTCTGTGCTCTCCCCCCTCTCCACCTTCTCCTCCTGACCGCTGTGCCCCCCGAGGCCGTGGGGACCCAGGCCTTCCATGTCCAGGATGGTGGGCGGGACGCCCCCCGTGATGCAGTGCTTCCTCTGCCTCCGAGGCCCGGCCCGGCTTGGCTCCTGGGCGCCGGTGTCCTCCGCGGGGAGCCCGGCTGAGCCCAGGCGGCGGCGGCGGTGGTGGTGATGGTGATGACGGCGGCGGCAGCGCTCGGGCGGAGGGAAGGCGAGCGAGAGGTCCGTGAAGGCCTCCTCCCTGGAGGAGACGTTGAGGCAGCGGAGGCAGCATATCCGCGTCACGATCTTGCCCCCGAACATCTTCTCCACGGAGGTGGCGCTCGGGCCGGGGGACTCCTCGGGCAGGGAGGGCGAGCTCGACTGCTTGAGCTTCTGGCAGATCCTCGTCCCGGTCTTCTCCTCTTCGTGCAGCCTGGCGCAGGGAGCAAAGAGCTTTGGTCCACACTCAGTGGGTCACACACCGGGAACACACGTGTGTACTAGGTGGCATCCGTGCGCATGCACTCAGAGGCCAGGCACGCACGCTACATACTTAACCTGCATAAAGCTCACAGACCTGCCACAAAGAGCCGTGCGCGTGCCCCAGAGCGCTAGTGAGAAAACACAAACGTGCAAGCTCAGGCAAGCACAGCATAGTGTACATACACACACTTGCCTTCCCCGGTCATGCTTCACGTCAGCATCCCCAGAACGTCCCCCCACCCGCGGCCCCTGCCCCATCTTCTCCAAGCCTTCCACAAGCCCCGGGCCACACCCCAGTCCACACCCCAGTCTCCAGGAAGAGACAGCACCACCCAGGGGGATGGAGCTTCCCCACCAGCACCCTCTCCAGACGGGAAGCCCCGAGGAGAGCCAGGCCCGGCCTCCCTACCGATCCAGCAGGTACTTCAGGTACTCCGAGCAGTCCTGCTGGGTGCCGGGGCTGAACCAGGGTGTCCAGGATGCAGACAGGAAGTTCTCTGGAGAAATGGCAGGCCGCTGCATCCGAAGCGGGAGAGACGGGTCAGGAGCTGGGGGGCCACTCACCAGCCAGCTCCCAGCGCCACAGCGTGCCGGGCCTGAGGGTCACCCTGGGGAGTCACTGCCCCAAACTCCCAGCCTCCCCATTCATTCCCAGCTGTCCATCCCAGCTGACTTTTCCCATCCTACTAAGTCCATGCCACCTAAGAGCATGGCATCGGGTCCATGGAGAGGAACAGTCCTCCAGGAGTCTGTTCTTCCCTTGTTTGTTGCCATTCCCTCTGCCTGAAACACCCTTTCCCCTATCAGAAGCTTAGCTTAGAGTTCAAGTCCCAGATGTAGGGTCCCCTGTCCCACGGAGTCCTCCAAGGGCCACCATCCCCCTCATGATCAACCTCTGCCTACCCGGCGTGGAAACCACACGTGCCTTGTTCTCTGCTAAGCACTACGGCTGCAGTCTACAGGCCCCTCTTCCCCACCAGGCTGTGCCCTGGGAAAGCATGACTGTGGCTGATGCACCTCCGTGCCCCTCCCCGCCGACCCCTGCAGAGGGCCTGGTGGATGCCTGGTCAAGGCCTTTAGGTTCCATGAGGACAGAGGGAATGTGAATAAAACAAATACAGCCCTCAGGGTGCCTGGCAGTGTGAGTGCTCCAAAATGACAGCCGGCCGACAGAGCGACACAACCTCATACAGTGGACTGGACCACCGACGGGAGCGACGTGGGCAGCACTGCACAGGGGGCTCCGCCGGCCCCTCTCCCGCCCAGTCAGGCACTGAACCGGCCCCACGGGCTCTGCCCGTGAACCCACGCCTGCCTGGACTGGGGCCCAACAGCTTACAGCCAGCCGGGGCCCAGAGGCAGGAGCAGGCGGGTTCTGGTGAAGGGGAGGCATCAGACCGGGCCTCCTCTCCAGCATCCCCGCGCCCCACTCCCCCGCACTCACCTGACTGTGCTCCAGGAAGGCGAAGAGCCACTGCAGCTTCGTCATCAAGGGCTGCGAGTTGTTTTCGGTCAAGCGGAGTACACAGTGTCTGAAACTGCAAAACAGGGCACCCAGAGTTAAGCCGGGGCGCCCAGAGGGCCTCTAACTCACCCACACTGTGGCAACCCAAGGCCTCCAGGCTGCAGGCAGGACAGACACTTGTAGCTCAACTCTGGGCCAGAAGCCGGGCAGGGGGGCAGGTGAACAACTCAGGTAGACTGGGGCTCTTGAGATGTCTGGTCCTATGGGAAATGAGAAGAAGCCCCGCCTGACAACCACATCCCCTGGAACAAGCCAATTCCCAGGCCCAAGCTAAGTTCTTGTTCTCACAAAAATCTCTGAGCATACGGGTCAGGCATCTCTCCAGCCTGCAGCCACTGTACAGGGCAGTGTAACCAAAGCGTGGTCCACTTAGCAGTCTGCAACAAACCAAGTTCGCAGAGAGCATTTAGAAACTTGTACAGTGATTTGACATCACCATTATACAGACATGATCATCACCTAGTAAGTCATTGCATTATATTCTACAAAAGTAGGAGTCTACAGCAGACTGGAAATCCAAAAACAAAACAAAGCTAGTCCTTGCCCAGGCAGCTTGAGAAGTCCTGGGGTTCACCTCCAACCTCGTCCCCCAACCTGGAGCTGAAGCTGAGAGAAGGAACTGCCTGGAGCTCCTCCCACAGCCAAAAACAAGGCTTACTTTGAGACTTGTCAAAAAGATGTTGAAGTATGGTACTGGTCAAATAACAGGTGAACCGACAAATAGAACAAACAGCCCAGAAACAGACCCCCATAAACACAGTCAAGTAATCTTTAATAAAGGAGCAAAGGCAATATAATGTGGCAGAGACACTCTGGTCAACAAAATGGTACTGGAACAAGTACACGTCCCCCACCAAAAAGAATTAATCTGAACACAAACCCTACACTCATCGCAAAAGTTAACTCAAAATGGATCATAAAATGCTCAAGTAAAAATCTCCTAGAAAACAACAAAAGAAAACCTAATGACCTTGAGTGTGGTGAATACATTTTTAGAAAAATCACCAGAATAATAAGCTGAATTTCATTAAAGTTAAAATTTTTCTGTTACAGTATCAAGAGAATTAGAAGACAAACCAGAGACTGGGAGAAAATATTTGTACAAAACACATCTCATAAAGGACTGTTAAAAATACACAAAGAACTCTTAAAATTCAACAAGAAAACAAACAACTTGATTAAAAAATGAGCCAAACATCTTATCAGACATCTCTCTCACACACACACACAAATACACACACTCACACACACATGAACATACAGATGGCAAATAAGCAGTGAAAAGATGCTCAATATCATGTCAGTCGGGGAAATATATATTAAAACAATAATGAGATACCACTACATACTGTATTAAGATGACAGAGAAGGATGTGCACTCATGTTCTTTGAGAACAAAATCACAACTAGCTGCTGAACAACCATCAACAGGAAAATGCTGGAACCCACCAAAAATGATACCCCACCTCCAAGGGCAAAGGAGAAGCTGCAACAGGATGGCAAGATGGGC